TGATGTGGGAGCTGAGATACTTTTAGGCAGAAATACATTAAATAGAGATATTATGGCTTGATAAATCAACTGTCCTTTTCTTAGTATTTTATTTAAATAAAAAACATTTTTCTTTCCAAGTTCTGTATGACATATTGGAAGTAACTTGTAAACATTTTAATAATCTTGTATTCTTCTGAAATTCTGATTTTGATTCTAATACAAATTTTTAATCCTAAATAGGCTCACAATCCCTGATAATTTCATGAGAATTTAAGTGCTTTTTATATATGATAGAGAAGTACAGTTCTCGAACATAAATAATGATTTAATAAGACTGCTGGAAACTAGTGTATTTGTTTTTCAAGTTGTAGTGAATCTGATGAATACTTTGTAATTTTTGGACAGTAATAAACCTTTCGTGACACTGAAGTGTTGTGAAGTATGTATGCAACCAGCCAGCCTTTACCTTTGAGAATATACCTATGTTATGACAATTGGAGACTTTTTCTCACTTAGGTACTCTGTTTCACTCTGGCATCGTCAGGTTTGAAAAGAGCTATTTCCTTGAAACAAAGAATAACATTTAATTTGCAGTGTCAGAAGAGGGGAAAGCCTCTAGTTATCATGAAGATAAAAGGAGGATATAAAGATAAAAAGAAGCGTTTTGGATCATTTCAATTACAATTTTCAATATTGCCCATATAGCAGGTTTATATAACTGTGTTCTGTGTCTGTAATTCTCCCCACTCTCAAGCCTACTAACCAATTTTAAGCCCTCTTCCTTTCCAAATGTACTTATACAAAGATCTAGTTAATTATTTTTTTTTTTTAAATTATGGACTGGGGTATATGAATCAGTACATCCTAAGGAAAAACAATATTCGTGATCGCCTATGTATTCTGTCTAGTCTTTTACCAGGCTAATGAATGCATGCATATTGACTTCTAGTCAACGTAGACATACCTTCAAACAGCAACTGCCTGTTTTGCTGCTCTTTCATACAGTTTAGCGTAAATGGGAGGGAAACAAGGGTAAGCAGAAGCTCGGGTAATAGTGATAAAGTTAGGATGCAAATCCGGAGGTAAACAATCTTTATTAGTTCTGTTCATTAATCTTTATCTAAAATGTGTTCAGATTACAGATATACAATGAATATGGTTGGAATTTTTTTTCCTATTTGTGCTTAAGTACAATACTTGGAATATTTTTACCCAGGTTAATATACCAGGTGAAGCTCAAGCAGTTAGTCTTCAAAATGCCAGTCAGCTCCGAAGGCAGTCTACCTTTTCCAGATTGCAGCTGAATTATGTACGAAGCTTACAAAGAAACCATGAAGTTCACAACCACCACATGCAAGGATACAATTCAGGATGTGTTTGGTTTAGAGCAAAGTGTTGTTGGGATAGAAAATTACATGGCTGTGAGACCTAGTAGCCCCAGAAATGTCTTAAGTCTCAGTGCATCATGTGAACATGTTTATTGCATGGAGACAAGAACACGGCACATCTAAGAAACATATGCTTCAGCTAAGCATGGTATTTATTAGGTTAATGCATTTTGGAAAAGCAGCTGAGGAAATAAGAGTTGCTGTTGGTATGAGAGAATTTTTTTATGTCAGAATAAAATCTCTTTATTATGTCAGAAGTTAAAAGTAAACCAAATGGCAAAAAAGGCTATTTCAGCTGGATACTTAGATAGGTTTTCATCTCTGGCAGCCAAAATCTTTATCGGCTTCAGATGAAACCATTTTTCCTTGATCTCTTAATCGGCTTCATTCTTAGCAACAGTTAAGGCATACCACAGTGCCTAATTGTGTTGTACTGACAGCATGTCTGTCTTTGTTTTGGACTGAACCTCTCAGGTGTCAACAGGTAGTATTTGTAATGTCTCCCTTCCATATAGTGCCCTGTAAGAAGGTTTTGTTCTGCGCTTCACTGCAAGGCAGGAACTTTTTTCAGCGTTACATGAGGGTATTGAAGTAGCTCATACTTTATCGGTAGTACTTGGAGAACCTCTCGCCCCTTATTGTCTTGACCTCTGTTCTATTGTAGCACAAAATACAGTCTCTGTATAAAACATACATTATGTGTGATTATATAAAAGCAAATGTATTTAGCTACATGTCCTTGTCTCAAATTTGTCTTTGCCAATTATTATATAATAATAACGAACCAGTAGTACAAGTGACAGGCACTTGCAGTGATTCTAGAGGAGAAAAATACGAAATAGCTTTAATAAAATATTGGTGCTTGTTTCCTCTTACAGTAAAGGTGAATTTACTTACAGTAAAGGTGAATGGTAAAATACACCATTTTCTGGATTTCGGCTTTGCGGATGATGTGATAGCTGCCCAGGTGATATTACAGCAGGATGAGGTAGCAACTTGTTATATCAGCAATAGGATCTGAAACAGGGGGCAAGCTCAGGCAGTTTGATGAAATGCTGAGGCAGGATTTCATGATCTCTTGCCAATTGTGGCTGGCACTTGTTTTCAGAAAGATCGAGCTTACCCACCGCTATAAAAAGTTGCAGGTAGTTCCTGGGAGCCAGTTGATCTTGGTGAATGAAAGGAAAAGAAATCTGGAAATGTTGGTTTGGCCTGTGGAATTATTCCTTTAGAGAACTCACTTTTTAAATTAAGGTTGATTTTATTAAACTTTTTAATTACTATAATTGAGCAATATTTTGAGACGATCACTTATCAGCAGCTCTTCACTGAAAAAGAAGGACCTTTTTACCTTAGGCAGCTTAAATCTATGAATAACTGTATTAGGAAATTAAATCTGCATAATAGTTTAACTGTTCAGTAATGTGTTTTCAAAATAGCACCTTAATTGGAAAATAAGATTAATTAAGTCTTTATTGTGGATATCTGAGTTATAAAATCAGAAATTCAAAATAACATCTTTCTTTTTTAGAAGTATCCTTTATATAACACTCTTAGAGGTAAATGCAAATAATTTTATCTGCATATATGTGAAATGCATTGGCATGCTTGTCAGTTCATGTTTGTATTTGTACTTTCTCAAACTTTCAGTACAGTGTTCTGTTTTCATTTTCTCCTCTCCGTCAGAAATCTTTGTCTTTGGCTTGAAAGTTTTCCTGCTTTCTTTCTGGGTAGATATAAGGAAACTTTGACAAAAGTAAATTTCTTTTTCTACTAAAACATCTGTTAAAAATCTATAAATTTAATGAAAGCTGTAAATACTAACTTAAAATTATAATCTCCATGTAGCTTTTCTACCCATAAAACTTATTTTTTACAACCATAGTAATATGATTTTATTGTATGCAGGGGTATCTTTTAAACAAGCTGTAAGAAATCTAAAAATCTAACTCTGTACATAACCGTTCTCATGAAGAGCCTTTACCGGGCTTTTGCGGTTCATTTGCAAAAAGAAAGTAAATAAAACAGAAATTATTTGCTCAGAGGTGTGGCTTGCATCTTCTGCTTAGCTGCTGAAACACATAGGTACAGTTGTTCTATTTCTGCAACTTTATTGAAGTAACTACGTAAAAGTTTTCCTAGCTTCCATTACCTTTTATCTCGGAGGGTGTACTGACCAACCACTGAAAGACAGAAACAACTGTCCTGAAATCAGAAACATTTGTTCTCAATTTTGTCAATGATTGTAGATACTGTGTTAATTTACACTAAAGAAACAAAAATAACACATGTTCTTTGTAAGATTATATATTGAACTATTTAAAGGTTTTCTCTCCTGTATTCTTTAATACTGAATTAGCATAATACTAAAACCCAAAATGGATTCATTTAAACTTTTATTGTTGTCTTTCTATGTGTGTCTGTACCATGTCTGTCTACATAAAGCCATGAATGTCATTTAGATGTTTATGGTCAGTATCAGCTCTGCCTATGTTCAGTGTTTCCTGTGTATCCCATACTTGCATCAAGAGTATTCTTCTGAAGTTTTCAAATTTGGGTTTTTTTACGTCTTCACCAGAGATACCGGCTAACTCTATACAATTTTAACCCTGAGACCACATCTCAGTTCTCTCTCAAAAGTCTTTGCTTAATGAAAACTTAGTTTTCAAGTAAGTCTTGATCTATTTTAAGCAGATAAAGAGCTCCTATGCCTTCCAGCTTACACAGATGGGTGGTAAAGTTGGGTCAGAAAACTTGGTTGCACTGCATTCCTCTAGTAGGTGTAGAAGCCCAGTCCATAAATTCTGAATGCTGTGCTTGATGTCCACCCAGTGCTGTTTGCTTTTTCAGCAATGCAACAAAGGTAGAAAGCAGAAAGTTTGTAATAAAACATCGTTCCTGATCTAGGTCTAAGTCAAAGTTGCGGTTTTGTCCTCATAGAACAATTAAATCCACCTGTGTGCAATGCTTTTTCTTTTCTTTTTAAAGCCAGAAATGTTTGCATTAGAAACGTATAAAAGTTTCAGGACTAAATATTTGCCCCCTCCTTTTCCTCCCTTGTTTGTGTTCATGAAGTATTCTTCATTAGTAGGTATAATGCCTAATGGTTAGCAGACGAGAAAATTCAGACCGTCCTGTTACAGTTGTTTTCAGCCTGTGTCTGTAGGCTTTTGTGGTCTGTTGAATACTTTTGAAAGATTTACAAAAGCTTACAAAGAAAAGTGATCTTATTATAAGGTAGGCTTAAATTCACTATGCAGGGAACTTATCTATTCTCAGAAATGGAATAGTTTAGGAGATCAACATTGAAAGAAAGATTTACACAAAAAAAGGAATGTAGAGGCTGCTCAAGATGTATTGCTTGTTTAGAGTATACAATGTGATATTTCCATTCTGCATTCTCTTATATAATTCATTTTCCCATAATAATTACATGGTTTTTTTCACACTCGGTATTAGTAGGATCCAGTCTTTCAGAACAATTATTTTAATCAAGTTTTGTTACAGATTTTACAACTGTCCATTATATTAAGATAACTGTATTAGCTAACTTGGGGGGGTAGGGGGATAAAAATCTCAACTGCCATTTGTACTGTAGATAGCTGACATTCTGTCACTCTCCACCTGTAGGAGCTTCCAGCCCCTTTGCTTGATGATACCTGCAGAAATGAATTGAGAGAAGAAGCGACAGCTGTTAAATCTGAAGATTTTCAGGATTCTATGAAAATAGCCTGGCGCTACCAAAATTTACCAAAAATGGAGGTAATCAGTATTTCATACTTTTTTCCTCTTGTAGTCACAATGAATTTGCAGAGCAAATGCTTCTCAGTAGAATCTAGACAACAGAACTGCTAATGGACAGTGTTACAGGATTGCCTCCTGAGGGTAAATTATCATGCACCACTATCGTTTTTGATTATTAGAGATACAGAGAGAAAGGGAATTTGAGAGTTTGCAGGAACTATAAAACTTACTACAGACAATCATTTAAAGGTAAAAAACATTAAAGTTCTGTGGGATTTTTCAATGACTATTAAGTTGAGACAGCTTTTTCTGAAGTTTGAATAATATGGTCACTTAAAAAGTTTGCCCAAATTTAGTTGCACACAAATTACTTAAGTAGGCTTAATCAACACTACTTACTAGATCTCTGTAGTGGAAGTACTGTGTGGAAGCAAGCTGTTGACCTGCTTATCCATGTGCATAAGGACCAAAGTAAGCACTTGAGATTATATCAGCTTCACTGTCACTGGAAACTAATCACTGCACAGGGAGAATATAAGAAACAAGCCCAGTGGTCAGTCATTCAGAGTTTACAGTTGTTAGTGTTTTGTGAATAATGTATCTCCTGCGGCTGGTGACTTTCTTACTTAATCCAGTGGCACCATCAACCTTTAATAAAATTACAGCATTTTTGACTATCCAGAACAAAAAACTTGTTTTGTCTATACATTTTAGCCTACATTTATAAATTCTGGTTTAGATGTAGTCATAACTGCCTAGTAAGTTCAGTCGTATTAAAAAACATAATTGTAATGTGACAAAATGATCTTACAAGGCTTGGCATGTTTCGTTTTCTGTGAAATTGCACAGACATAGCTATATAGTTGTGTCAGAAAAGACTTATATATGGTGACATGCCAAATCAAACAGCCTTCAGGGTAATCATATAATCTCATCAATTTTATTATTCTGGAGCTTGCTGTGCCACTCTGAACCATCCCCAAAATAATTTGGCTGTTTTAAAATCTAGCAGAATTCCTTGTACATTAATACGGAAACAATTGCATGTTGTTAACAAATAGTGTTCTGATGTTCTAACAAAATAGAAAGACATATAAATAATCCAGTTAGGTGTGCACGCCTCTTCTATAACTTCATAGAGGTAATCACTACTTCCACTAATATAATATTTGTCTACAATACATAATGTACTTGTCCTTGATTATTGAAATTTGGTTATGCAAAATGCAATAAAATGGTCCATCTTTTTGAGGTGTTTCCCTTGTTATCATTGTCACTTTCTGAAGTGGATACTGATCATTCTGAATAGTTTAGGTACGATATTTTTTTATGTATATGTCAAATTTATTTTAAAAATTAAAACTTGCAAATAAAAGTCTAATTCTTAAGCTATCTATACCTAAATTCCTCAGGATATTCAAATTAGTGAAAAATAGTTTTGAAATGGATATTTTTCAGTATTTTATAAAGTTATAAAGTTTTGGTGATCTGCTAAATTAATTTGATTGGTGAATATACTCCATTGAGGAAAAATCTGATGTTGCCTTGCAGCACCCTCAATGTTTAATATACTTAGTACTATCATTTAATTAACAACTTTGGTTGTGATTTATTCTTGAAATTTTCTTTCGACAGAAAAAAATAATGTTGAATAAAATTTAAAGGCATATCTTCCAAACTGATTGAACTAATAAACTAGTACATTTTCAAAAACTACTGTCAAATAGTTTTAAGTATGTATGCTAAACATATTAGCAGAAAACTTTTCCATCCAATATCTGGCTTTACCTGAAGTAAGAATGCTGAGTAAAAGCTGTCTTTGTGGTATTTTTGATGCCTAATTTAGTTTTTATTTCTAAATAATAAAAGAGATTTTCATTAACAGTTCAGATATTCCCTTCCCATTTATTAGACCTCATATAGACTAGCTAGGTAACTCTTTTTTGTTCTTATGCATGGTATTAATATTAATGCTCTTCATTACTGTCACAGTTTCTCTTTACATATTGCATATACCTAGTACATCAGAAAAAGAAGGTCTATAAGAAATCTGTCAGAGTAACAGGTCGCGTTGTGCTTGATGTGCCTTTGCCAGTTTGTTATTTTCATCTGTATCAGAGGTTAATTTCATTTAAACTTTTGAGTATATGGATAGCCTATTTTGCAATGCAAGACAGTGTGGTTTTTTTTCTTTTTTTTTTTTTTGAATGAACTGCTTATGTTCTCGGGGCAATATATAAACTGTCACAGCATGAAATCAATTTTCTGCCTTGATTCATCCTAAATCTGAGATTTCTAGCACATTAGTATTGCAATTAGAAACATTAACAGCAGACGGTAGCATAAAAGCATGCTCTGCTCACTGACAATTTAGTGTATTTCTCCTTGTGCAAAATAGGAATCCAGGAAAGAACAGGCTTGAGCCTCCAATCCACTAATAAATTTATCAGATCAAACTTAAGAGGAATAGAAAGTCTCTGCTTCGCACTCTCCATGGTCATTCTGCTAAGACAGATTATTCATGCTTACTTGATTCAGGTAGGCTTTTTGCAAGCTTCCCCGCTAAGCCTGGGAATGCAGTACATTGAGGCCTATTCATAGGCTTCTGACATAGACCGAGCTTTTATTGCATGGTGTTTTATTATAGCCAAATCCTAGTCTCCACCCAGTTTGTAGGCACTGTGCTTATTCTTTTGAATCAAGAGAGGTTATCACCTACCTTAATCCATGCAGCAGGGTGGATTAAGGACACCAATGTGCCTCAGGATTCTCAAAGAGGATCCTGGAAACTTCTTGTTTCTTCTTTTTTGCTGTCTTTACTAAACTCTATTGGGCCTCAGTAAGGATTTGCATCTGAAATGGGCAACCTGGAGCTTTTCTCAATGAAGACATCAGATCAAAGTTCAGTTAGTCAAGGCCTTTCTAAAACATTAAGGGGGCTTGGAACTACACAATAAAAAGATGAGCTCTGGCAGAGATTGCAGTAAAAACATTCTGATCTGTAATCCGGATAAAGAATAGATTATAGGCCAAAGAACAGCCCCTGTTTAAATTGCTTTCAGAATACTCATTTTAAATAAAGTTACATTTTACATTAAAAGTATTCAGATTTTGATAGATTGTTACGGGTTTTTTGGCCTTCCTTCTTTAAAAATCAGGCACTGATAAATAAATTGGAACACTGACTGAGAAAATGGATTTTTCTATCTTTTTTTGCATAAAACTGATCTGCCTGTTATGACTAGGTACACATGAGCAATTTTGAGGGTTTTTTTAAATTAAAAACTAATTATTTGTTTCAATGAAAAGTTTGGGTTTAGTTTGGTTTTTCTGTCGGTTTTGTGGGAAAGATATTGTGTTATTGTTGCTATTTCTACTCATTGATAACTGACAGGGCCTAACATCCATTAATCAAATAATTTCAAAATACTTACTCTAAATCAAATTATTCTAATGAATCTTAACAGTTTAATATATTTTTGGTAAGATGAAGCATGAAATAAAACTGTGGAAATACATAGGCTGATTGATTTCAGAAAGCTAGTTATAAATAGATGGCCATGTCTGTATTCCTTCTTTTTACTGTTATAGTACTTATTTTATTAGCAGGACCAAGGTTTATGAAAACCACAAGCTTTCTGTAGTAATTGGAGCTGGAACTAAATTATTTGTTGCTCAATATACAAAAATTTACAGGGATCCCATTGTTGTAACAATTCAGTATACCTGTCATCATTCCTGTATATAGCAAGAATAGCACATGTTGAAATTGGAGCAGAGTTGTTCCAAAGAATTCTCATTGTGTACACATGCAACCCTGTTCATCTTTCAGATAGTGGATAAAACGTGTATATTGGCCTGCTTAAACGAAAAATCCTTTTATAGAATGTTCTGAGTTGTTACAGAACCTACTAAGAAACTTTTGAAACTATTGGGGTTATTTCTGATCACTTTTCAAAAGTAATTCCATACTTATAAGTGCAAGAAAACAGCATTTCATTTTACCACCAATCCAAACTTCTCTTCAGAATGACTTTTAAAAGGCATTCTGTTCTGTGGTATGAATATGTCTTCAACATCTCTCTTACTTTCAGCTCTTACTTTTTCCGTCTCACCTGTTCTCTTTCACAACCATTGAGATACTGCATTTTATTTTAATACTTTATCATTTAATATGTGAGATGGCTCTTGGCTCTTATGGGGGATTCAGCTTAGAAGTAAGTCTTGGAGTTGGCAGATAGAAAAATGACTTATATTTTTGCACAGTCCTCCATTGTACAACGCACAGTTTAGATGCAGTCCAGGCTTAGGGTAGTTGTCCTCAAAATAAACCAATAGGTGATCTGATAGGAGCACAGTGGTGTTTGTGCCATAACTTAAAGATCAATTTTAATATTGCTTTGGTAATCTGTTACTTCTTTACAGTGTGAACATTAAAGAATACTATATGCTGGTTTACATCTGTGCCAAGTGTTTTCCTTTCCTTCCCTCTGAAGTTTATTCTGCTTGACTATTCTTTACAGGATAGTTTGACTTTTTTTTTTTAATCGGAAGGACAGAAAATATGAAGAAAATGAATTGTTACATGAAGAACAGACACCTACCATATGCTTGAATACTGCATATTATAACAATCTTTTTTTTTCAACATTATATATGTGATTCAAATAGCATTGCAGTTGCATGCTGAACTCCACTAAAGTGGAACAAAAATATGCATTCATTTCCTCTGTTTATTTACTAGCAAAACATATTCAAGATGTGTAATTCCTGGTATGGTATATATTAAATCTGGGAGTTTTATGATAGTTTATATACCCAAAATTGAGATTTGATAAAAAGTATCTTTATTAGACTAAACCGTGGTTATTGTCTGTAATGTCTGTGTAATGCTCAACCTGCTACTTATTCAAAATTCCAGAAATAAAAAGTAGTTTTAAACTCTTTACTCTTTTTTACAATTTTCTATTAAAATCAAATATATGGAGATGCAATGGTATTTTTTCTTACAGATCATAGATAAACGAAGTGAAACATTTTCAAAGTCAACTGAAAATGTTTCTGTAGCACCATGTAATTTCCATATACTGAAAAATCAGATAGGTGGAACACATCATGGTCCACACATTTCATATAGCTGGGCTTTTGAAATTTGTGATCATATGTCTAGAACATCTGCAAAAATACATTATTTTAGGTATCTGACTTCACTTTGGTGATGCAGCTTGGAACACCAATGGTTAAATTCTGTGTGAAAAATTTGCATTACAGAATGTCAACAGGGGAACCAAAACTTTGTAGTAAATATTATAATGTTGTTCTACTTGAAGCTCATACTTAAGGGAAAAAAAAACGGGCTTCTTTCAAGTGTATTGCTGGTTAATTTTCTTTTGACAGATAATAATTTAGTAGGTTACTGTAATCAGAGTTGTTGTTTCCACAGGCCAGCCCGACAACATCTGCAAAGTTTGGCCATTATTATGATGTTTCTAAAACAATGTCTCCAGAACTGTATCAGTCCATAAAATGGCACAGTTTTTACCTTCCCGAAGAATTGTCTTTAGAGCCTAAAATGAAAATATGGTAAGTTGTAATACCACATGCTTCTGTTGCGTGTTCAAATTTTGTCTGCATATTAGTAGTAAAGGATATTTTTGTATCTGCACTTGCTGTGAAAAACCTTGTAGCCTTGCATGGCTCACAAGGAGTTCAGCTTCGGTTCTCATGTTAGTGCTGCATGCCATGACTGGCAGCAAAGCTGCTGTGCCACAGAGACAGCTCAGTAGTGACTCCCCAGCTGTGGGAGGAAGCAAGTTGGCAGGGACAATTAAGGCAGACATTACTAGGACAGCCTAGGACACAGCTGCATGTTCACTCCAGCCCTACTGACAGCTGAGTGTGGGGACTGGGGAAAACTACTACTATCTGTCTGTGAACTACTCCCTGAGCACCATGCCCCATCAGCTTTCAGAGATGTGTGTGTCAGGTGGCTATCAGTCTTAGGAAGATATCCATACAGTTTTTAGGGCTAAGAAGACAGGCCATCCTTGACCTACATAGCTTTGAATGCTATATCAGATTAGTTTGTTATGTGACTTTTACTTCTTACATCCTACAGCTTCACCTAAGGAAAATACAAAATACTGTGAATAGAATTACAATCACTAATTATGTCTTACACAACACCCCTAATTCCAGAGAAAATCATAAACTCTTCTCTGAATGAATAACTTATTATAGATTATGTCTATCAGTAATGAATTAAGGAAGACCAAGAGAAAATGAGTGACAGTAGTAAAGACTCATATTAGCCTGTAGCACACACGTCCATTGTGTCTTTCTTGGAGACATTTCAAGTCAAGTCAAACATCAAACACAGGCTAGCAATCTCTTTGTTCAGCCCAGTCACTTAATTTATATAATACCTAGTTTTATAGATCCCAGTGTATAGGGCCAAATCCTGGAAGTAGTAGTGTGGTATGCTTTATTGTGATTGATTTTCATTACAGTACACTCAAATATAAAAAAATCAGGTTTATGAAAGAAGTGCAGTATGAAGCACCTTTCTTAGAGCTGTAGAAAAGCAAAAGCCGAGTCTCTTTGTAATTTGTTTCTTTCTTACATGATGAAATGTCACTGGATGTAAATTCTTGCAATGCTGAAAAAAAAAAACAACCACACTTTCAGGAGAAAGCAGAGAACTTAGATTTTATTATTATTATTGTAAATAATTGAACCAACTGTATTTATATATTGTGTGTAATTTTTTTATTTTTTTTTTAGTAGCAGGGCCATAGAGAGTAGACACAAAGGTATCTGACCAGTAGATTGCAAGTGCTTATACTGAGGAATTCAACTCCCTTTCTGTCTTTTCTCTAGCTAACTAGAATGTCTCATGACTCTGGGCTTAATTCCACTAACTATATGGCTGTCAAGTGTTTGTGCATTTTACATTAAAATCAAATCAACTCATACGGCTAGTATAGGAGATGGACTTTAACTTTTATGCATTTGATTTAATAAGCCTTGCTTAACTCTGGTATTTTCCTTGTGTGCTATCCTGATAGAAGATCATCATTCTTATCATATAAATTCTATTCTTACTTTTAGTTTTAATCTGTCAGAAAGATTAGATTTAGTTAATTTGCTTGGCAAATTGGTAGAGCACAGAGTGATGACGTGAGAAGCGTAGTCAAATAAAGACGGAATTTGGAAGGCTTATCTCCTTTTCTTCTCCCTGCACCCACAACATGGGTCTACTTCAAGAAGCCTCTCCCCAGAAATGAGAGAATTGTATTGCTGGGAGTAAAGGCAGGTACCGAGGTAACAGACAACTATCATTCTAAACATCATTTTCTTAGACCACAATGCAATGTGATAAGGGACAGGGAGTAATTCAGAACACATTGGGAATAATGAACTCTCAGACAGAAATCTGTGAGAACTGTGAAGAGATGTGTATGTCTCTCTCTTCGTTTACAGTAGATCATTTGTCTTCTAACTTTGATTATTGTCTTTCCTGACCACTGGTTTTGGATTCCCTGTATTAAAAGGGTTGCACTAGGCCAAGGTTAAGATAAAGTGGGAAAAAGAATTTTTCAGAATTACACCCTCTGAAATAAAGTTTATTTCTCCATAGAGAAACGGAAGATTTAAGCTTCTCATATTTGCAGTCATTCAATTTTGACACATATTTAAAAAATAAACTGAATCAGAATTTCAACTTCTGTTCATTGGTGTTGTATAACTGGAGTTTTTTAAAAAATGATGGAAGTGGAGAAAAGCTACTTCTCCCATTACCCTGATCCCCAAATTGATGTGCACCTAGCTCACTTATTATCAGCAAATTGAACTACCCAGTTTACATAACAAAAAAAACAGGCTAGAAAATACATAAATGTTTTCAAGCTGGGACCTAATGAAGTTCATTGGTAAAACATAAAGAACTGTCAAAGTTCCACAAAGTCAAAAAGGCCAAAGTGATGCCTGTCTTTAAGTAGAGAGGGGAAGGTGAAGACATCTGTGGGATAACATCAGTGCTCTGAAAAATACCATTAAAAAAAAAATTGTCTTTTTAAGCTTCTAGGGTAGTTTCACCCAGTATGTTTCCTTTGTTTGCTTATGGGTATTCAGCTGGGATAGAGCCAAAAGGCTCTAAAATAAAACTCTCCATTGGTAAAGTCTGTTATCATGTCAAAGAAGGAACATAGGCTGGTTTGACAGTTTTCTTTTTGTCATGTTGATTGTTAAATCCTTATCTCCTAAACAAGCTGTCATTCAGTCACAGTTGAACCTGAGTGAAGTACCAGGTTTTATCCCAGTGTTGGGTCTGGTAATCACCTAGTACTAATTTGGGTTGATACATATCCTGAGCAAGGCATATCTTTATTGCAGTCATAATGTCAAATTTGGAAAAAAGTGGAAGGAATAATCACATGCAGATTAGATAATAGAATTGGAATTCAAGAAGATTTAGGTTGGTGATCTGGAATAAGCTATATGGAATTTGCTGAAGATGTGTTGAAAATCATACTTGTAGGAATAATTAATTGAACAAATAAAGTAGTGTAGCAGGTCTCCAGAAGAAGATCTGGGGTTATAAAGTATCTTGAACATAAAATATATTAGCAGTGTTGTGTGATTAATGATACCAAAAAGTATAATTTAAAAAGCATGGAGGTGATAAACCAGAATTTAATGTGGAAGACATGCAAAGTACTTCTGTTCTGCTCAGCCATAACAATGCTGTCCAGTTTTGGAAAGCAACCTTCAAGAAGACTCTGGATCAGTTGGAGAAGGTTGTGAAGATGGGTATACATCTAGAACTGGGATGTATGGCCCATGATGGAAGAATGGAAGATCTTAGACAAATCTAAGCAGAGTCTTGAAGCATGTTGAAAACTGACATACAGACGGTAGTAATTCTGTTGTCTGATGAAGGTAGGACAAGCAGTAATGGGCTACAGAAAACTGTAGTGGTAGAAATACAGGCTAGAAATAAGGAGATATTTTTCTAATTATTAGCACAAGAAGAGGTTGCCTTGCAGATGCAGGTTGGGGAGTATTGGAGAACCTCCATAATTGAAAATTTCTAAGGACAAGTTAGGTAAATATCTGTCAGAGATGGTTTAGATGTAGTTCATCTTGCCTTGGGGCAAGAAGATAGACTACCTGACCTCTTGAGGTCCTTTTCATCCCTATCTTCTGTGATTCTTTAATACACATTAGTCACAGTGTATTAAATCCAATACTAAGTATGAATGTTACCAATTATTTCACTGCTCTCAAAACATTTATGCTTTTACAGAAACCTAACAGGCTTGTACTGTATTATTTACAAATACTGTGATGAAATTCTGAAGGAAGTGTTCCTTTCTCAAGGAATGAAAACAAGCTCACAGTCCTGTCAGGATGATTTTATTAAAGAAAGATTATAAAAGGGGGAGGGAAAGGATATTACTTTGTTGCCATTACTGTTTGGAAAATCAATACAATGCTTCTGGCTTCTAAAGCTAACTTCAATATATCATAGAATATTAAAAATTTCTGTTCTGTTGATTAACTAGACTTTCAAAATGATTTGAAAGAAAGTGATTTGATAGTCACAATTAATGCTTCCAATAGAAGTCAACAATTTGTATTAGGCTTCATCTTTAATTGCCTGAAGGTCCCACTGAGAGCTTGAGCTAACCTCGTTTACTCTGAGTTACAGTGAATTAGGAGCAGGGACACGGCTAGTTAGCATGTCTCCACTTAAAGGATATAATTTCTTAAACATAAGGTTCTCAGACTTAGGTGCGGACTAGGGTCATAGATGCACAGCCAAAAAAACCCCTGGTTGCATAGTGCTAATTTCCTAGCATTGTGAAATCTCTGTAATCTATTAGCTGACAATACCTCAAAAAAAACACCTACTGGTAGCCTGAAAGGAACTAAAAAAAATGTTTAAGAAGTTACTTGAGATTCAGAAAATCTATAAAGATACTATTTTTTTCAATTTATCGAAAGAGGATTGACAGAAAATGTGTTAACACTGAAGGCTGACAAATCCTTCAAAGATAAGGAGACCTTTTTAAGAAAGGGGATAGTTCATTATTGAAATAGTTTACATTAATAGGCTATGTATTGTGGGATGTTTGCAAAAGATTTCATGACTTTCTAAAGGGTATACTATGCAAGATATATATCAGTAAAGACATTTCTGAATGAAATTTTCTCTTAAATCATGTAGGAGTGCAGACCAACATCAGTGGTGTGGGTTTTGTTTGGTTTTTTTCTAATCTAAGAATGTTTTGCTTTTTTCACTAATACGGAGGTTGAGGAGGAAGTAGAACTGATAGTTTTGCCTAGTATATAATTTTTTGTAAGTAAATGGTATTGTTGCTGATGGATGATACCTCTTTATAGTATCAGAAGTCGCAAAAAAATAGGAATTAGTGAAAAAAAAAACAACCCTTTTCTCTCTCCTCCAAATGTTTCCACATTATTTTAGCTAGCATGATCCATTCTAAATATTTGTAATGTAGCAGAACACGGCATGGTTTAAGTTCAGCCTGAAATTAATTGTTATAGTCCTGCAACTATAGCCATTGAAAAGGCACCTTAAATTATGTAGCCATCGTGGAAAGTGTACCTAACCCAACATACACATTCTATGTTGAGGTCATAAGCTATACACTCTGCAATGACAACCTAGTAGTTGTAAAGAATGATTTTAGAAGCTTAGTGTATTTTTTTATTGCACTTTTTTGATTAAATTATCATACGTACTGATGTGAGCGAGGCATTCCCTAAATGTTGTCCTTTTTGGGTGGGTCTCTTTTCCTGTTTTCCTGATAGACCTGCTACTTTTGTATGTAGTTAATGTTCCTCAAAGAATGTACTTAATCTCTAATTTGTTAGATGCACCTAGAATTCACCTTGTTGGCCAGCCTTACCTTTCCCTTTCTTTTTCCGTCAGAGGATGACTAGCCTTGGACACCTTAGGTTTCATTTTTCCTCCCTGGAATTTGGGACAGTTCTCTTCCCCGACCCTTCTTTTCTTTGGGAAGGGGTGAGGAACAAGAAGAACAATCCTTTGCTCTCTTTTCCTTTCACTGTTCAGGGATGTAATGACAAAGCAGATATTATGCAGTTAAAGCAGAAAATGTACAAGAGAAGTAATGTACCGCATTTTCCTGTACAGCTTATACTGTCCTGACAGAAACAGTCAGTATAGTGAGCATATATTTCACAGTCCTTGGGAAAACAGTGCTGCATCTTTTAATAAGCAAGGTCCTTTGTCATAATGTTTTGTGGCATAAGAACCATGTCTTTGTAAAAAGGACCGAATTATCTTGGTGCTTCTAATACTCTAGCATCACATTAAGGAACCTATTTTATTTAAACTGTTCTTCAGTAAGTGAACTGTAATTGTAGCTAATGTCTATTGCAAGATAATTACAGTGCTTCCCTTGCAGGACCAGAGATGTAGAGGTCTTATTTGGGCCAGAAACTCTTGGCCCTTTTTAGAAATCATATATATCTATACATATGTCCCTCCATTGCTATCCACGCAAGCACTTGGCTTCTTTATGGAATTGCAAAGAAAGGAGATTCTTTGACTGATTGGACAAAACTAAGCTATTGACTTTGGGTTTTTACTTTGCAATTAAAGATCAGATTTGGAAGTTGTATACAACATTTGTTTGCTTTAAAGCTTGGATCAATCTTTCTTTTCTTTCCTGTGTTTTTGCACGCATGTATCTTTATCTGCTTTTCGATGGAGGGAGATGAGGAGTACTGTGTTTGCTCTCCTTTCTGTAGTTCTGGTACCTGATGGCTAAATTAGATTACAGGGTCCTCTTTTGGATAATCACTCAAGATGTGTAGAAGTTCATTGCCCCATGGTAAACATTAATTGAAAACAGATTGGGAAGTCTGTTCTCTTAAAGGAAGTAGTAAATGGGACTGGGTGTTCGGTGCCAAAAGAAGGCATAAACCTTCTCTTTCTTATCTCATTATTTTTTATGTTAGGGAAGGGCAGTTATGTCCTGGCCCTAATGCTAGGACCAGGTTAACGGGGTTGTGCAGCTGACAGAAACTGTTTTCCAGTTGTTGTTGCTAGGATATTCTGGTGTCCTTTTTGTTGCGTTGCTAAAGCTGGTACTTAACAGGAAGGCAGAAATATGCTCTGTGATAACCCTCTGCTTCGCAGAAAAGGCTTGCTTTCTACCCCTCTACTTCTATCCTCATTGTTCGGTTGCAATTACCAAAAGAGAAAGTTTGATAATCAAGGGAACTAAAATAATTAAGCTGTAGTTTTTCAATAATACTTGCAAGTTTTACCTTAAAGAACGTACGTGCTTTTGAAAAAGAATAAATTTATCTAGAGTCTAGATTTACCGATAAATTTAGATAAAACAGGTTTAACTGTCTTGCCTAATGGGGTCTCCTTATACATAATAAGGCTATTTGTCATACCCTTGATAACCTAACCTTTGTTAACTGCTTAGAAACTATCAACAGAGAAGTCAGAGGCTCCGTTGTAACCGGGATACCTTCTTGCCAGCTCCTGCTTTATCCATTACTAAATTGCTAAACAAAAAAAAAAGGGTACAGAAGGAATTGTTTAAACTCATTATCAGAATTAAATGGTGTTTAGTAAGAAAGCCAAAAAAAGAGAAGAAACCAGAAAATAAGAAATATCTTCCTTCCTTAAATATTATGACAAACATTGCCAGAAGGGTAATGCAACTTGTTTTTATAAATAGTGTTTCCACAATATTTTTCATGTCCTTACATACATAGCATGGTTCAAATTCAAGTAAACCATTTTTTAGCAAGAAGTAGAAGAGCACCTATTTCTACATTTAAAAAAAATCTGTATGCATTACATTATTTCCTTTAATTCTTTCTTTGCTACAAATCTTTTTCTGATGGTTTAATTGAAGATCTCTTTTATTTGTTTGTTTTAATTGGGACCCTTTAATTCTGCTAATGCATTAGGTATTTTATTCTTTGATCCACTAATTTAAAAGCAAGTTAGTAACAAATGAGGAATTGGTAAGTATTGTGATTGTAGTGTATTCTCTGGCTTCCCTATAGATAGCATGGTAATATTCATAAGCAAAATAAGTGATATGTATAGAAACTTGAAAATGCTAGTTTGTGGTGACAAAGACCACAGTCGTCTTTTTGTATTGCACGTACTGTATTCCTAGCTATGGCTACAAGATATTTGCAAACTCCTTCCTAATGTTGGTGAGCAGCAGTTTTTATCTTTTCCAAAAGGATAAAGGAAGATCCAAAAGCATACATGAATGCTTCTGGTCATTGTGAAGTGCTGCAGATTCTCTCCAGCTCTGGCAAAACTGGGAAGAAATCACAGCACTGTGTAAGCAACAAGGATTGTGTGTGTGTTGCAATAATGTGAAGACATGGAGGGAGAAGACATTTTGGCTAGCATGGAGGCTAAAGCCCTCTTCCCCTCCACCTACCCCATGAACTGACATGTGCAAGACTGTACAGGTATAACATTTAACAGCCATTCCTGTTGCAGCTAAATGCTAAGAAAGTCATTGTCTTCATAAGTGGAAATTTACTTTTTTCTTTTTGAGATGCTCTTTTTTGTATAGCAAGGCAGACTTTACATGTTAAATGCCATGTTGAGATTTATACATTGCCGGTTATTTTCAGCTGTGAATTTCAAAGAGAGTATTAAATTATTAAGGAACATCAGTTTAACCGATGGCTTTGTAGGGTGCTAAATCTGAAAATGGAATTTAATTTAGAAACTCTCCCTTTTATTTATCTCTGAGAAGAGTCATCTCTTAATGTTTTCTGACATTGAGTATTTCAAAACTTGAAATTATTATGACTGTGTGACTTTTGTAGATGTTTTTAGCTTAAATATATAATCGGGGGCTTGGGTTTGGGTTGATACTGTTTTCTTGAAGGAACTGTAGAATTCTGAGTTAAAGCAATGGTGTTAAAGACACATGTTTGTGACTTTTAAGTGCTTCTCAGAAAAGTTGTCTTCTCTCCTGTGCAAAAGTATGAAAGCAATTTTATTTGGGTTTATTTAGATACTCATTAGTAAAACACATTTGGATAAGATTTTTGGCTCTTACTAAAGTAATGGGAATAGTTTCATTAATGTTTGGATCAGGTGATCTTTCGAGGTCCCTTCCAACCTGGGCTATTATCAGATCATGATTGGAGCAAATAAGAATATTTTTAGAGGCAAAACTTTCAAAATAACCTGTCATACTTCCCAAGAAGTATACAAGAAAGTTTGAATCCACAGCCCTCGATGGTAATTAGTGAGACTAGAAGGAAATGCCAAAGCTAGAAAAGATAGAAGGGTTTAAACTCTCAGCTGCAGTGAGGAACCTACATCAAGTCCAGACACACAGGCCAGTATGCTCTATGGGATTTAAGAAAACAGTATGTCTCTCTTAAAAGTGAAAAACTGGCTTGCTTTTTTAAGGTAAAGGGCTTTCTGTCCTTTGTATGTGTAAGCCTGTGGACTGGAGAGCATGGCAGGGATGGATATCTGAAGAAGTGCTTTGGACGTGCAGGAACTGGACTTTCTAAGACTTTCATTTGGTTTTAAGTCTGCTTAAATCCATTTTTAGCCACCTGTTTGCTTTTTTTTTTTAATTTTATGTTATATTTTCTAAGTAATACATAAATCCTTCTCCACAATTCTGCTATCATCCAAATAAAGCAGTAATGACACCTGTAGTGTATGGATACAAAATGGAACCGTAGTGTAGCAGAATGTATCTTATGCTCTGGTGCAGTACCTGAAAAAAAACCTAAAAAACCGAAACAAACCTGATTTAATGACCTGAACTTTTTAATTGTGAAAATGTTGTGTCTCTCATTTTTTGTTGGTTTTGATTGTTGTCACAGTTTTATGAAAGTTTTTGGTAGCAGAAACTCAACTCAAAGTTCATCAGGGCTTTGATTAGGTACACTTGGAATAACAATTGGGTAGATCTTTGTCAGTTATAGAAGATTAATACTGTGCTGTAATGGTTTCAGCTTTAAGTTGATACATTATATCATTAATCTTCTGGATGTAAGTAAGCCTGACATAATTAAGTTATCTTAATCCCTAGAGATTTTAGATTCCACTAAATGTCTGAGCACTGAACTAGTTAACATGAAGCAATCACAACTGCTTATAATGTCAATTTTATTCAAAAGAGGTTTGGGTTTTTTCTTCTATGACACTTTTTTTCTATATGGCACTTTCAGATTGCAAGCTATGTCTGCTTATATTTATTTTTAACACAGCTGTTAGAGATATATAGGAGAGTATTAAAATGTGTTACTAAACTACTACTTCTTACCAACAGTAATATGAACAGTGCTTATGCAAGGCTGCTCCAGTCCATTCAGAAGATGATTTACCAGGAAGGGTTTGATGGCTCTGATCCCCAGGTACTGAAGACCCTCATACTCTTCTATAATCCTGTAATTAATATTGTTTTCTGAATTTTCAAGGGTGGCACAAGAAGGTCTTGGACAAAGTAACAAGGAACAGGCTGTTTCTAAGCATTGCTAAAGTAAAAAAAGTAATGTAAATAGAGAGTGTCATTTATATTTTAATGTGCATTTGGAGTTTTTACCTGTTACAGATATACAGACCATGGAAGAAAGAACTGTAAGCCAACACTGATAAAATGCATATTCTGTGCAATTAGCTAATAAATGGACTGCCAAATATAATGTAATTAAGCAAAACACATTTTCCCCTACAGTATTTTTTCAAATTATTGCTTTAGCAGTAATGTGTTCAAGACTCTTGAGACTGAACATTTAATCTTAAACTTTTAGATTTTTTCAATGTTGTTTTAACTGGAGTGGAGTGAATTTTTTAATGAATTAAATGGTGTGCATCTTTATGTAGCGAGCACTGAAACACAAGTAAAGAAATGAGAACGCTATTTCAATTTACAAATCAAAACAGCTTACCAGACTTCTAAAAATCTCTGTACTTTTCACAAATCATACATTTTAAGTGTAACAACGTAGGCTGAAAGCCCTTTTCTAACTTGAGCAGTGCCCTATCTATTATTCCTTGACATATTCAGTAATATGTGAGTCCTTTGGAGTTGATGGAAATCAATTATCTTTATTGTTGTACAAGAGAAATGTTACTACAGTAGAAGTTAATTAGTATAGATGCTGGAGACCCTCAAAGAATATAATACAAGACTGTGTACTATTACCAGTTGAATATCTTAGAAATCATTTTTGTGGGGAGGATAATGCTGGAATGGATGTTTTCGTGTCCAACAGTGTGTTTTAGAAATGTTACCTGCACAGAACACTTGTGTGTAAATTCAGGTTATTTGTGCTCAGTGTTTAGTCTCTGCTGAGATTTATGGGAGAGCTTGCCTTCCCTTTGGTGGCAGTGCCAGTCTGGAGAAGTAAATTGGTCCCTGACAGGCACCTCTCCCCACTCGCTGTCGTAGCCATGGCAACAGGCTTGTCATCCTACCGTACAGCACCATGTGTAGAGATGCTCCTCCAGCACGGTGACAGGTCCTGTGGAAGCCCAAGAGCTTGCCGGCTGCAAAGAGCAGCTGAGTGAAAGAAACACCCTGCCAACCTGCAGCCAGCAAACAACCTCCTACTGAAGAAATTAGGCTGGTGTTTCTTATTTTTCTTTGTATATTCCTGATTTTTTTTTTTTGCATGTAAAAGAAAATAAAGGTTTGTCAGAGCCAATATTTTTAGGTTTTTAGCTTGCAAGCAGGGAAAAATTAAACATCATGGATAGTTATTTTCTTTACTTGTTTCTCGTTGTTTCAGGATGTCTTACTAGGGTCAATAAAGCAAAACCAGAACTTTAACTCAGATTGATTTAAAAGTATAAGTTTCTGAGGTGAAGCTCTAAAAGTCAGTAAAAGAGTCCTTTTTCAGGCCAGTTTACCAATCTAGAAAGCCATTAGCAGTTGCATAGTTGTTTCTGTTTCAAGGGAGATAATGCATATTATTTCCTGGAGCAGTTTCTGTTACTTTCTTTTAAGATTCTTCTTTTCCCCAAGCATCATATTTCTTTGTACACTCAAATTTTGTACATTTAGAAGCAATATCTAATACACACTTCCTAAAAATGTGTCCAGAGTTGAATGTAGTTGTGGCCTGGAACATGCCTTGGATCTTTTTATCTTCCAAATTTATGAGAAATTCACCTCTCTGCTACTCTGTATCCCTTTCTACTTACTGAGCTTTCAGAAGTACTTTTTAAGTAGCCAGATATGAATATTGTAGAGTAAGGACCTGCCTGTATTCTTCTGCACCTGTGTCCTTTCCTGTATATACTACTACTACAAGCTTCTGAAAAGTTTGTGCATGTGTGCTCTTCCCCTGAAAATAATCCTCTCCCCTTTTGGTGGCTCCTATTGGCAGTGGCTTTCATGAAGTTTGGAGAAATCTGCAAGGGCCAAAATATAGCAGGGAGGTACAGAACTTTCAAGTAATTTACTTACTGACTTTAAGTAGATCCATTAATCCCCGTCTGTGAATGACAGAAGTTGATGCCTTTAATGCTTCATTTTTTGTACTGAGAAGTATAATCCTTCCAAAATCTCTAGACTATTTCTAGATTTCTCTAGTCTAGAAATGTGTTGCTTGTTGGATCTGGATTCAAAGGAAAAGTTTAACTTGATTGGTAAAACTTTCAGATATTTTTGGCTACTTTCACATCAATATGCCAATGTTACTTTGACTTACTACTCCTTTTTACCAGTATTTGGAGAGGGGTCTGGAGAAAAGTGAGCAGAATGTGACTCACCCCAGCTGACAGAGATTTGACACAATTAGGCAAATGAGTGAAAACTACCATTAGAGGTTTAGTAGGCCCAGGCATCTCTAGGACCTAGTATGATCAGTTAACATTATTTTTATAGGGCTGTCTGCTGTTGGTCATCATAGATTAATATTTCTTGACAGTCCTGCATGACTTTGTGGGCATTAGGACACTAATTCCTGTATTAGGCTACAGAAAAGTTTGGTCGAAGTTAACCAAAGCAATTACCTATTTGTTCACACTGACTGGAACATCTTTGCCAAGATCTATTTGGAACTTCAGGGTCTGAATGACCTATGACCTAGAAATAGGAGCATCAGTTTTATATCCTTCCTAAAACCTCCTAGTAACTCTTTGCTGCTGATCATTAATTGTATGAGGTTCAACAAGGCCAAGTGCCAGGTCCTGCACTTGGGTCACAACAACCCTATGCAACGCTACAGGCTTGGGGATGAGTGGCTGGAAAGCTGCCTGGTGGAAAAGGACCTGGGGGTATTGATGGACAGCCAGCTGAATATGAGCCAGCAGTGTGCCCAGGTGGCCAAGAAGGCCAATAGCATCCTGGTTTATATCAGAAATAGCACGGCCAGCAGGACTAGGGAAGTGATCATGCCCCTGTACTTGGCCCTGGTGAGGCCGCACCTCAAATACTGTGTTCATGTTTGTGCCCCTCGCTACAAGAAGGACATGGAGGTGCTGGAGCATGTCCAGAGGAGAGCCACAAAGCTGGTGAGGGGTCTGGGGCACAAGTCTTATGAGGAGCGGCTGAGGGAACTGGCGTTTTTCAGCCTAGAGAAGAGGAGCTGAGGGGAGACCTCAGCACTCTCTGCAACTGCCTGAAAGGAGGGTGTAGTGAGGTGGGTGTCGGTCTCTTCTCCCAAGTAGCAAGCAACAGGATGAGAGGAAATGGCCTCAAGTTGTGCCAGAGGAAGTTTAGATTGGATATGAGGAAAAATGTCTTCACCGAAAGGGTTGTCAAGCACTGGAACGGGCTGCCCAGGGAAGTGGTTGAGTCTCCATCCCTGGAGGTATTTAAAAGACGGGTAGACGAGGTGCTTAGGGACATAGTTTAGCAGTGGGCTTGGCAGTGTTAGGTTAACAGTTGGACTTGATGATTGTAAAGGTCTTTTCCAATTTAAATGTTTCTATGATCAAGTATTAATCATTTACAGATTGAGCATGGTTTTAAGTCACACAGAATAGCACTTGTTTGATTCAGAATATTTTGGGATTTTCATGTTTAACAACAGAATTTTCATAAGCAACTATATTTCTGTAATGTTTCTTTGTATACTTTGGAGCTCAAGTTGAGTGACTTTCAGGGTAATAAAGTTGGGGGAGATTGGTTTTTTGTTTGCTTGGAATTGGGTTTTTTAATTCTTCATGATCTGAATTCTTGCTGCCAAAGCAAACAGTGTTAGAAAAATTCCATGAAAAAGGTAAAAAAAAAAAAAAAAAAAGCAAACTTCCAACTAATGAGAGTATAAAAGATCTAGTGGTATATCTAAAAAGATGTTATAATGCTCTTTAGTGCAGGCTTGGTGTTAAAGAGTATTGCACTTATGCTTTTCTTATATTTCAGTTATGGAATAAGCCATTTGTCAGGACCGTGTGGGCCTGACAGAATTACACTGTCAGAAATTCTGTTAGTGGCCAAAATAAATATACCTGATATTATCTGGTGTTTGAATAGCTTTATCTTTTACAACTCCTATGATTTATTATTGTGAAACAAGCATCTGTCATCCTTCATCTAATAAGAGAATTGAGATTCTGATACAGTTTTTTCTCTGTATGTTGTTCTTATGGATGTTCTTTGTAAGAAAAAAATATTTTTCTCATTAAAAAAGTTCTGTAAGTTTTATGTATGTTTGCTCTGAAATTTTGAAATACCAGAATTCTTTTTCTGCGTGGTCAATATCCATTATATCTGGATAAAACAGTTTTCTTAAATGCCTGATTTTCTACTGTTGCTTATACACACATCAAGAAATGCGTGAATCTGCTCTGATTAGAAGTGACTAAAGAATATTAGACTAGCTTCTATTTTTCCCTGTTTCTTTTAAAACTCTGAACATCAGAGCCTAACAAATATCATACAGAGAAGTCGTGTTATCCTGTACTATTATCCTGATCTTCTTAAGGTAGTTTAAAAAATTAACTTTACGTAAGTAAAGCCTAAAAGCCTGCAAAGTCCGAGACTGAAGAATCCGCCAGAGTTAAAACATATATCGCTTTCACAAAGATTGTAAGGGAATTGGCAGATCAGCTCACTGTGTAAGCCATGAGAGTTGGATAAATGCGGAGCCATGTGGTACTGACTGTGTTTCACAACTCGGGCTCTGTCTACCCAATATGGAGAGGGAAGTACTTACAAGAGCAGCCTCTTGTCTTGTTAAAACCTTTCCTCTGGATTTCCAGAGCAGCTGTGCAATGTTTTGTGCTTGATAGTTGCTGTTCATTCCAGCTGGTGGAAATGAATATCTACAGTTTATCAAAGCACTTTGCTGTAATGAAAAGTACCTGGAAGCTTTTCTTTATCTAAACTAATATTTTTTGTGTGTTTGTATATATGTAAAAAAAAAAAAAAAAAAAAAAAGCCAGCCTTTAAGTATGAACCCTGAACTCTAGAAATGTATCTTTGATCACCTTGTACAGGGAGTCTTTCAACAAGGGTGCTTATTGTCTCTCTCGGCTCTTGATAGCAAATATACCTAAAATCCTGCTCAAAGATCACCAGGAAAGGTCACATCAAACAAGCAGAAATGAGATTTGTCATCATGTGAGATGACATCTTACTGTGCATAAACAAATTAAAACTCTGGCTTCATAATCCGTCCCTTCAGAAAAGGGGCTTTATCTTAGCCACTGCCTCTGTTGGATGCTCTTCTGCCAGCGTACTGCAGGGCAGCAGACAGTCTTTAGGTAGGTAACACACAAGGCTGTTTCGGATTTTACATGTCAAAACAGCTTAGATTCTAGTACCCGATAGCTAACTAAAGCAGATCCAGAAACACTCACGTCAAGGACTTTCAGAAAGGTGTAGTCCTTAAGAGACAATCTGCTGATGTCTCCATCAAACTCTCTTTCTCCATAGCTGTGGGTAAACCTTCCTTCATTAGCTGGAAGGATTTGACAGAAATGCAGATGATGCTTACAGAGACTTCTAAAAGAGAGAACAGGTCATGTGTTGCTGAGATAGGCCACCGACCTTTTTCATTTAGAAGCAGCAGAAAAAGCAAAACTAAAGCACGCAGTCAGAATAGTCAGGTTACGAAAATAACCTAGTGGAAAATTGAAAATAGAGGCAAAAGTTGTGTTTGATTACTCTCAGAGACTTCCAGAAGACCAGTTTAGAGCTGGGAAAGAAGATTCTTCTGCATAGTTTTTAAGGCAGTGATGGAGGAGAGAAAGGGCATGAAAAATCATAGTATTATTGGATTTTGTGTCAGAATATACTTACATTTAGCTGGTTAAAAAATGCAAATTAGTAGGTTTTGGTATTTCTGTGCTGTCTCTTAAGCTTGCACTTGCTTATCTGACATAGCATGATATCCAGTCAGTGAAAAAAATGCCATTCCGTTTGTAATTTTTATAAGATCATCTGAGATTAAGCTATGATTACATAAAATATGTAATTATTATGGATATGAGCTCTATAATTTGTATGTTTTAAATACATTACATGACATTTTCCTCTTAATATTTAAAAATTAACAAGTGGCTTTTTTTTTTTTAATAGAAAAAACAAAAGAATATTTTGCGGATAGGAATTCAGAGTCTAGGTTCCATGTTGTGGGGTGATGACATTTGTAGCAGTGATACTCCTGAAGATGTTCATAGCCTTACAAAATTTCTGTACGTTCTCCGTGGCATCCTCAGAAAATCTTTGTCAGCCTGCATCATCACAGTGCCAGCTCACCTTATCCAGGTAGGAATGCTGTCTTTGCTAGATTTCATAGCTGATATATCAGCTAGCAAAAATTTAACATTTATGGTAAGAAAATAAATGCAATTTTGGGCATTTTGAAAACTCTTTTTGTTCAAAGGGCAAAGTTAAAACCTAACTTCACTATAGCGTTTCTATACTTTTGTGGGACAGTCATGCTGCAAAATCTACTAAGACCTAAGCACAAAACTATCTTAGATACATTTATCTCTTGTGTGGGTCTTAGTCTTTTTTGAAAAACTGTCAAAATTTCAGAAACTGTAAAAAAAGCAAAGAGAATCCTGCTAGTTATCTCTTTATTAATTTTTTTTACAACATCTCTACGACCTTTTCCACTGCCTTTAGCACACTGTTTAGAGTTTCAATACAAGACATTGCAGTCCACTGTCTTCGTCTGTAATGCTCATTATGATGATGTGTGATCTTGTTTTTAAAGCCAGGAACTGAAAGATACAGTTTTCCTCTTTAATTCTAATATCCCCTTGTATTGGGACCAGGAGCAAACCAGTTACGGTATAGAGTAATTTTCCTGACTGTAAAATCAGAAGCTGCTAACAGTACTTTTCATTGAGAGTATATGGCACTTAAATGTATGCTCTGGAACTAAACATTTTTAGCAAAAGGGAAAGTGTAGGTAGTCTTTTTTTCTGCAAGTGGTAATGTAACTTACAAAAGCAAAATTATTATTCTCAATGAACAAGGAACCTATAAATTTCAATATTAATTTGATTTGATTATAGTAAAAAAGCACTGGGTGAAACCTCATATTATGCAAAATGTTTTCATAGTAAGTAAGTTTATTGTTAGATTAAATCCTGTCTTAGGTAAGTACATGACTCACTTACATATTGCATTTTGTAAAGGTGTGTGAATACCTGCAAATGTTATTTATCTAGATGCACTTACTGCTTTAAAATAAAGAAACTTGATTCTCTAGTTTTACCATCGCAATCAAAAGTGTATGAATATTCCTCTTGTAATGCAAACCTCCATCTCCTTACTCAGCTATTTTTAAGTATTAGATGGCAGTTTACCTTCAAAGAGATTGACAGTAAAATTTAATGCAATGAATAGAATTTGTGAATGTAAAACTAGAATCCTTCTCTTTACACATTGGAATTACCTGTCCATAATTGGGACATACAGTCAGTTTCATGTTACTCTTTTTTATATATATTATGTCAATAAAAGGTATGATCATATTTTAGAGAAGCGTTTCTAAAAAACAAATTGAAGGACAAAGTTTTTTGTTTGTTGCAAACTTACCTGGGAAGTTGATTTGGGTTTTGTGTTATTAATTCCATGTAAATCAATTCCCATGGAGTTAGGATTGAAATCATATCTGATTTTTTAAATAACTGATTTTTTTATTTTAACAGAATTGTTTTACAGTAAAGTGCTAGAATATTCTGAATTAAAAGAAAAGAAACATTATTTCCAGAACCTTTACTTAATAGCCTTAAACTAATGAGAGCATAAATATTTTTTGAAATTGTTAAACTTCATGTATCCTTGTTTAAGCACTAAACTATGGAGAAAACTGTCATTAGGAGGAGCAAAGCTGCTGAGGGTTCCTTATACCCCACATTACTCAGTTCCCAGAGCCCTGCTGTGTAGTTGTTCCACTCTCCAAGAAGCCTGTTAAAGAGCCCCTGAGAGCATGTGTACAGCCCTCCATGTTAATAGTTAATTGGTGAGGATGGCAAGATGAGAGGACAGCCGAACATGTGGTCTCTCAGGCTCAAGCCGTAGACAGACCTTTAGTTATAATAACAGCAGCTGCTCACATTCTCACAACCCAGCTACTCACCATTCTGTTGCTGAGGTTTCTTGCTGGATTAAAAAAGTAAAGAAAATATCTTTTCTTTCCAAGAGAATAAGAGAGAGGGATTTTTTTTCCAAGTGCATTTCTGTATATGGATTTAATTTGATCAGAGTAAGTTCTAGCATATGCTTTCTCTGTTGAATCTTAAAGTCAGTACACTGAAGGCGTAGAAAACGCACACTATTTTTCTGAAGATGTAGTAAATTCCACATTTATTCCCTGAACTACTGTTTCTGTATTTTCTATGTTATCTTTTGCCTCCCAACTGTATTAATTAGGTTGTCTACAGATAAATTCTTCACATGAATAATTTCCACGAAGGTGAATACAAGTTCAAAATCACATTTTAATCAAGGTTTTGTTGGCATAACATATACAGAAAAATAGTGTCATTTTTATATGATTTGTCTTCTAAAAATAGATTTTTAGTAGTGATCATACCATATCTCATGTCTGTCAGCCCCCAGTACTAGTTACTCCAGTGAAGAATAAATAAAACTCACAATTGGTAGTACTGATTTTCAACAGGGACAATGTCTTTCCAACCCAGACTAGCTATATTTTTTATATGTAGTATATGAATAATGCATATATACATATGTAATGTGTGTGTGTGTGTATATATATATATGTGTGTGTGTGTGTGTGTGTGTATATATATATATATATATTTAGTTTGAGATTGGTTTCTTTTATATATTTTGCCAAATACTTTGCATGTTGTGCTGTGACAGGGAGCTCCACAAATTAAATCTACCTGGTTTGTTTAATTTCTAGAAAGTTTAATTTTGCCTTTACTTTTCATAAACTATATCTTTGTTGTTGACTGATCGGACAAGATGAGGCTCCCTATTTTATATTTTCTATATTCTGATTGTTTTGTATTTTTTGTCATGCTGACTGCTTAACTATTTTTAAACAGTCACTTTTCTTTTAATCATATTTTACTTTGTTACAGTAACACAATACAATAATGCTATTATTGTTTGTTCACTTTTCCTACATTCTAATGTCTGTTTTGTCTCTTTGATGACTACTGAACATTAAACAGCGATTTTGTTCTTGATGCTTTTCCCCTGTGGTACACATCCACCAATGTGGCTCTTTCATTATTCCAGCTATTCATTGTCTTGGATTTAATAACTTTGAATTGCATTTATCCAAAGATGATGCTCATTCACCCAGTTTGATGGGACATGGAATGTCTTCACAGTCTTCCGTAAGGCTATATTTTGGAAAAAGGCACAATTTTACCGAAACTCTGGTTGTGTACAGAGTTTTTTCAGAATAATTTAAAGAAATTGTAGTCCACTAAAGAACAGATTCTTTGAATTTTATTGATGAAACTTCTAGTGCAAACAGTGCATGAAGAAAAAAGAAAATTCTCTTTTCTCAACCAAAAAAATAGGAATATGTTATTCTGGAAGAGGATTTCAAGAAAATGACACTAAAAACTTATCCAATTATGAATTTTATTCACATGATGTGTGACAAGTTTTACTTGATTGATATTTTCTGCTGATTGAACATACTCTTATCTTACACTGTCTGTCAGGTAATAAATATTGAGATACTTACGAGTATGATTAAAATAGTTGATGGAAGGTTATTTTTCAAGTCTTTCTACGAAATCAGACGGTGCATTTGAAAAGGGAAAATTGCTTCCATTTTTAAAATCTAGCATTGATCAAGGAGGGCAGACTGAAGAGGGGTTTCATTTGTTGTTACACTTTCCAAATTCAAGGAATATTATAAAAACAAGTAAGGACGCTTCTTCTGTATGTTGATAATCTGTACGCTTTAGTACCGAATTTAAAAAAAAAACACAACTTTTTGTGCTACAGAGTGTGGCTTAAAGGACTTTAATGTCACTGTTTTATACTCTAAATAAGAATTTAAAATACTTTCCTGTTGTATTTTCTTCTTTTTCTTTAATGACTAGAAATCATTGGTAAAAACATCATTCTCCCAAAATATTAAATAATGTTCGTAATTCTGTTCCTTTTCTTCCCAATTTTGTATCGCTTAAGTTTTTTTTTTTTTTTTTTAGTAGATTATTATTTTCACTGGGAGAAACGTAACGCTTTTATTAAAGCCATCCTTTATTTTGAACTTGAAGCTGTATTACTGGTAAGGACTAACAACCATATTAGTCAGCATGTACCAAGGGAAATTAATTGACTAATGAAAAGTCAGTATGAATAAGTCTTGTTATAGAACTGGTCCTCAGAGTCTGAAGTTCTGTTTAGCAAGGTATTTTCATTATTTCATCCAGTATGTTAAAAAATTAATTTCCTACAATATTAATGTTTTGATGCTTTGAATTCACTGAAGCGCATAAGTTACTGTATGTTTCAGTGTAAAAAAATGCAGAAACAAACCTTTTCACATCCATAGCCTTTTGTGTTCACACTGAGTAATTTAGCAGCTAAAGTCGAAGTCAAGCAATAGAGTGCTTTAGAATCCATTGCTAGTATAGGATTATAAGATATGAACTCCTATAGCTTGTGAACTTCTCACAGTTTGAAATCTTTATTCCTATGACAAGACCTAAGAGTGATTGCCTGCCTTAGAACTCTAACTTCTGAGGGTTCATAAGTGTAAAATCCAGGATAACCTTCAAATGTATTTGATGAGGTAGCCACTGCACACAAATTTATATTGCGATCAAATGTCATGTAGATTCTAAGTCATAGTTAAGCAAGCTTTCAAAATTCTTTGCAAAATAGAAACTTTGAGGGTGAAATAGTCTTCATATTTTTCTATTTTGGGGTTTTTTTACTTGCTTTTTAATGTTGCATATTGCTTTTTGTTGCATGTGAGAAATCCAGTTTAACAACCATACAAAGAAATATTGAGAGTCATGAGTTTGACAGGTATTCTTGGGTTACCCACATAGTTTTCAGATATTAATATTCTGGTTTGCATATTCTAGACATTCATAAAAGCATCTTTAAAATTATGATCTAGTAGGAAGCTCAGAGAACTATACAATTCAAAATTTAAATTGTGGGATAGTAAGTAATTTTGTTTTCAATTTCTATTATTGTTGACAGTATTTGCTAATTAAGTTGCAGAAGAAATAGAAATATTTTGTTGTTTCAGATGATAAGTTTATGGTTGCCAACAGGCTGTATTCTAGGTCTACCACTTCAGA